TAAGACGTTTTATACGTCGGAAAAGTCAAAGGGTTTTTAAAAAGACATGTTATAACTGCCCTAAGGGTTAATTGGATTTGTTATTTCTTATGGGAAATATTGCTTCAGTTATTTTACGTTCAGTTTTATCAACTTTTCGAAAGATTAATCCCGAAAACCCAGGGTTTCCACTGTACATTAGCATTGTGGGTTTACGGGGCCCCAAAAGTTTCTTGAAAAAATAAAAAAATTTTTTGGAAAAAAAAAAAAAGTAAAAATATTACGGAACGGTGGCAGTTGCCGATGCTCCATCCGGTTTCTTTTTCGTTTTACCTTTATATTCCGGTAAATGGTTGAATTTTTTTTTTTTTCAAAAACTCAGTAAACTATTATTAATTTTTTTTTTTTTTATTTTTTTTTTTTTATCACACTGGCCGATTCCCACCAAGGGAGGGTGGCCGGAAAAAGAAAAAATTTCACCATCATTCCTCCCACCCGTCTTGCCAGAAGGGGGCTTTACACTACAGTTTTTAAACTGCAACATTTAACACCCCTCCTTTGAGTGCGGCACTGTATCCCATCCCGGCTCAAGTCCGGCCCCGCCAGTTTCCCTGAACCCCTTATAAATGTCACTTTTCTCACACTCCAAAGCACATAAGTATTAAAAAACCCTTTGTCTCCCTTACTCCTTTCAAACCGCTCACCGCATGCCCGTTGAAGTCCAAACCCCTCGCACAAAAAACCTCCTTTTACCCCCCCCCCCCAACCTTTTCCCAGGCCCAAACCCCTACCCCCCCTTCCTTCCCACTACAGACGATAAACTCTTGTTTATTTGTTTCGCTCCTTCTCTCCACATCTCCCAACCCCTCAACAACCCTTCCTCAGCCCTCTGGAAACAGTTTTGGTAATCTGCACCCCCTCCTAAAATTTCCCAAATAGATTCTCTGCATTTATTCACACCACACATTGCCCCCAGACATGACAATTTCCCTGCCTCCAGCCCTTTCCTCCTGCAACATTCCCACCCATGCTTCACCCCCCATATAAAGCGTTGGTAAAACTATACTCTATACATTCCCCCTTTGCCTCCAAGGGGCAAAATTCTTTTCTCCCAGATCCTAAGTGCACCACTCCCCCTTTTCAGCCATCATTTTTATGCTTCACCCCATCTTTCGTAACCCCTCCGCTGACACGTCCACCCCAAATATTGTCATTCACCTCCTCCAAATCCTCCCTCCAATCTGATATCCCAAACTTTCATCACCTAATCTTTTTTTTTTCCCCCATAACCTTACTCTTTTCCCGTTTTCACTTTAATTTTTTTCTTTTCCACCCTACCCAAAAATCCCCCAAACTCTGCAATTTCTTGAATCTCCCCAAAAGCACAGGGTCATCAGCAAAGAGCAGCTGTGACAACTCCCCCTTTGTGTGTTCTTTATCTTTTAACTCCCCCCTCTTTTCCAAAACCCTCGCATTTTCTTCTTTCAACCCATCTTAAATATATTTAAAACCACGGTGACATCACACATCCTTGTCTAAGGCCCTTCTTTACTGGGAAAAATTTCCCCCTTTCCTACTACTCTAAATTTAGGGCCCCTATCCCCGTAAAAACTCTTCACGCTTTCAGTAACCTACCCCCTACACCTACACCCGCAAATCTGCAACATTGCCCCCCATCACCCTGTATACGCCCTTTTCCAAATCCATAAATGCCACAAGACCCTTTTGCCTTTTTTAATATGTTTACTTATTGTTTCACTGTAAACACCTGGTCCACACACCCCTACCTTTCCTAAAGCTCCTTGTTCATCTGCTATCCTTTTTTCTCCATCTTACTCTTAATTCTTTCAATAATAACTCTACCATACACTTTGCCAGGTATACTCAACAGACTTATCCCCCATAATTTTTGCACTCTTTTTTATCCCCTTTGCCTTTATACAAAGGAACTATGCATGCTCTCTGCCAATCCCTAGGTTACCTTACCCTCTTCCATACATTTATTAAATAATTGCACCAACCACTCCAAAACTATATCCCCACCTGCTTTTAACATTTCTATCTTTATCCCATCAATCCCGGCTGCCTTACCCCCTTTCATTTTACCTACTGCCTCACGAACTTCCCCCACACTCACAACTGGCTCTTCCTCACTCCTACAAGATGTTGTTCCCCCTTGGCCTATACACGAAATCACAGCTTCCCTATCTTCATCAAACATTTAACAATTTCCCCAAAATATTCCCTCCATCTTCCCAATACCTCTAACTCTCCATTTAATAACTCTCCTCTCCTATTTTTTAACTGACAAATCCATTTGTTCTCTAGGCTTTCTTAACTTGTTTAATCTCACTCCAAAACTTTTTCTTATTTTCAAACAAAATTCGTTGATAAAAACTCACCCACTCTCTCATTTGCTCTCTTTTTACATTGCTTCACCACTCTCTTAAACCTCTCTCTTTTTCTCCATATACTCTTCCCTCCTTGCATCACTTCTACTTTGTAAAAACTTCTCATATGCTAACTTTTTCTCCCTTACTACTCTCTTCACATCATCATTCCACCAATCGCTCCTCTTCCCTCCCGCACCCACTTTCCTGTAACCACAAACTTCTGCTGAACACTCTAACACTACATTTTTAAACCTACCCCCATACCTCTTCGACCCCATTGCCTATGCTCTCATTAGCCCATCTATCCTCCAATAACTGTTTATATCTTACCCTAACTGCCTCCTCTTTTAGTTTATAAACCTTCACCTCTCTCTTCCCTGATGCTTCTATTCTCCTTGTATCCCATCTACCTTTTACTCTCAGTGTAGCTACAACTAGAAAGTGATCTGATACAGTGGACCCCCGGTTAACGAACTTTTTTCATTCCAGTAGTATGTTCAGGTGCCAGTACTGACCGAATTTTTTCCCATAAGGAATATTGTGAAGTAGATTAGTCCATTTCAGACCCCCAAACATACACGTACAAACGCACTTACATAAATACACTTACATAATTGGTCGCATTTGGAGGTGATCGTTAAGCGGGGGTCCACTGTATATCTGTGGCCCCTCTATAAACATGTCCATCCTGAAGTCTACTCAACAGTCTTTTATCTACCAATACATAATCCAACAAACTACTGTCATTTCGCCCTGCATCATATCTTGTATACTTATTTATCCTCTTTTTCTTAAAATATGTATTACCTATAACTAAACCCCTTTCTATACAAAGTTCAATCAAAGGGCTCTCATTATCATTTACACCTGGCACCCCAAACTTACCTACCACACCCTCTCTAAAAGTTTCTCCTACTTTAGCATTCAGGTCCCCTACCACAATTACTCTCTCACTTGGTTCAAAGGCTCCTATACATTCACTTAACATCTCCCAAAATCTCTCTCTCTCCTCTGCATTCCTCTCTTCTCCAGGTGCATACACGCTTATTATGACCCACTTCTCGCATCCAACCTTTACTTTAATCCACATAATTCTTGAATTTACACATTCATATTCTCTTTTCTCCTTCCATAACTGATCCTTCAACATTACTGCTACCCCTTCCTTTGCTCTAACTCTCTCAGATACTCCAGATTTAATCCCATTTATTTCCCCCACCGAAACTCCCCTACCCCCTTCAGCTTTGTTTCGCTTAAGGCCAGGACATCCAACTTCTTTTCATTCATAACATCAGCAATCATCTGTTTCTTGTCATCCACACTACATCCACGCACATTTAAGCATCCCAGTTTTATAAAGTTTTTCTTCTCTTTTTTAGTAAATGTCTACAGGAGAAGGGGTTACTAGCCCATTGCTCCTGGCATTTTAGTCGCCTCATACGACACGCATGGCTTACGGAGGAAAGATTCTTTTCCACTTCCCATGGACAATAGAAGAAATAAAGAGGAACAAGAGCTATTTAGAAAAAGGAGAAAATCCAGATGTATGTATATATAATGCTGTGCGTGTCTGTGAAGTGTGCCCAAAAGTGTAAGTAGAGTGCAAAATATCCCGTTATCTGCGTTTTTAATGAGAAGAAAAAGAAACCAGCAACCCAAAACCATCAGCAAAAATTTACAGTTTCGTTTCACGTCATCTGGCAGGAGGGTAGTATTTTCCCTGGGGGGTTTGCGTCCCCCAAACCTACACCTAGATTTTGGTATTTTTTTTTTTAACATTGAATAAGTTTGTGAGCGGGGTTCAACAGTGAAAGGGTTAATAGAAGAATGGAAGGCGAACTAGTGAAATAGCAAACAATTTGGTCAAATTAACAAGGAATTGGCTTAAAATAGGCTAAATTAGGTGGAATTGCCCGTGAAAATTCTCCCCTGCTAATTTTTTTGGGTTTTGTAAGTTTAATTTTCTTAAAAATTTCTTTTTTTTTGGTGTTATTACTTCATAAAGATTATTACCATTTTTAGATTTTTTTTTTAAAAGTGGACCGAGCACTTTTAAATTGGGGGACTCAGTACTGAAGGTTTTTAAAATTTCAGAAAGGAAATGAACTTTATTTCAGTAGTTCATTTATTTTTTAGCCCCTTTTGGGGGGAAAAGGGTTAGTGGGTTTTTTAGTAAAATTGGGTGTTATGGTTTCATTGTTCTGAAGGGTTTCCTTGTTCCCATATTTAGAGTCTATTGAACATCTCCACGGAAATGGGAAGAACCTTCCCCTTTAGCCATACTTGCTGTAAGAGGGGTCTGAAATACTTTTAAAAAAGGGGTAGAAACCCCTTTTTTTTAAATTATTAAATGTAAAAAAAGTTTAAGGTTTTGAAAACTTTTTTTTTTTTTTTTATTTTTTGGGGCCTCCCCCTTGGAGGGAGATTGCCTTGTTTAAAAAAAATACATGTATTAAAAATGAACCCAAAAAATCACATTGAAACCCAAGTGACAAATAGCTAGGTATTCAGTTTTATGCATGTTTATCTGCACCCTTCTGGAAAGGCAGCTTGGAAAAAAAAGTAAATATGCATGCTCCTTTGTAATTTACTGGGATGGCCTGGATTGATTGATATTTTTGTCAACAGGTTGAATCAGCAAAGGGGACTAAATACACCATCTGTTCCAAGCTGTACCCCTTCATCATTGCAGTCTATGGTTTTTGATGATGCTACACCATCCTCAAGTCAGTTACTATCATTATACAAACATTATAAATTCTTTGCCTTCTACATAGGCTTTAATCAAAAGTGGAAAATAAGGAGTTTTTCCGTATGATGAATATTTACCCCATTTATTGTACACAGTATAGTTTGAGCTTAAAAAAAAACAAAAACTGGCAACTGACAAAACATTTCTTTCAGCTATGTTACAATCAGCTTTAAAGGATGGCATTGTAATGTCTTCAGTGGAGGGAAATGTGTGTGTTTTGACTTGTACATGTTGTAATGTGCCCTGCTCTGGAGAAACGCCTATGAAGCAGCACCTTCAAAGTAGTAGCCATCAGAAAAAAATGAGGTAAGGAGTTAAAGTAAATATTTTTTAATACAGGCATTTTATTTTATTTATTTTATTATCACACCGGCCGATTCCCACCAAGGCAGGGTGGCCCGAAAAAGAAAAACTTTCACCATCATTCACTCCATCACTGTCTTTTCCAGAAGGGTGCTTTACACTCAGTTTTTAACTGCCAAAAATTAACACCCCTCCTTCAGAGTGCAGGCACTGTACTTCCCATCTCCAGGACTCAAGTCCGGCCTGCCGGTTTCCCTGAATCCCTTCATAAATGTTACTTGCTCACACTCCAACGCACGTCAAGTATTAAAAAACATTTGTCTCCATTCACTCCTATCAACACGCTCACGCATGCCCCGCTGGAAGTCCAAGCCCCTCGCAAAACAAAACCTCCTTTACCCCTCCCTCCAACCCTTCCTAGGCCGACCCCTACCCCCCCCTTTCCTTCCACTACAGACTGATACACTCTTGAGTCATTTGTTTCGCTCCATTCTCTCTACATGTCCGAACCACCTCAACAACCCTTCCTCAGCCCTCTGGACAACAGTTTTGGGTAACCCCGCACCTCCTCCTAACTTCCAAACTACGAATTCTCTGGCTATTATATTCACACCACACATTGCCCTCAGACATGACATCTCCACTGCCTCCAGCCTTCTCCTCGCTGCAACATTCATCACCCACGCTTCACACCCATATAAGAGCGTTGGTAAAACTATACTCTCATACATTCCCCTCTTTGCCTCCAAGGACAAAGTTCTTTGTCTCCACAGACTCCTAAGTGCAACCACTCACTCTTTTTCCCCTCATCAATTCTATGATTCACCTCATCTTTCATAGACCCATCCGCTGACACGTCCACTCCCAAATATCTGAATACGTTCACCTCCTCCATACTCTCTCCCTCCAATCTGATATTCAATCTTTCATCACCTAATCTTTTTGTTATCCTCATAACCTTACTCTTTCCTGTATTCACCTTTAATTTTTCTCTTTTGCACACCTCTACCAATTCATCCACCAATCTCTGCAACTTCTCTTCAGAATCTCCCAAGAGCACAGTGTCATCAGCAAAGAGCAGCTGTGACAACTCCCACTTTGTGTGTGATTCTTTATCTTTTAACCCACGCTCTTGCCAAGACCCTCGCATTTACTTCTCTTACAACCCCATCTATAAAAAATATTAAACAACCAGGGTGACATCACACATCCTTGTCTAAGGCCTATTTTTACTGGGAAAAATTTTCCCTCTTTCCTACATACTCTAACTTGAGCCTCACTATCCTCGTAAAAACTCTTCACTGCTTTCAGTAACCTACCTCCTACACCATACACTTGCAACATCTGCCACATTGCCCCCCTATCCACCCTGTCATACGCCTTTTCCAAATCCATAAATGCCACAAAGACCTCTTTAGCCTTATCTAAAACTGTTCACTTATATGTTTCACTGTAAACCTGGTCCACACACCCCCTACCTTTCCTAAACCCTCCTTGTTCATCTGCTATCCTATTCTCCGTCTTACTCTTAATTCTTTCAATTATAACTCTACCATACACTTTACCAGGTACACTCAACAGACTTATCCCCCTATAAATTTTGCACTCCTTTTTACCCCCTTTTGCCTTTATACAAAGGAACTATGCTGCTCTCTGCCAATCCCTAGGTACCTTACCCTCTTCCATACTTTATTAAATAATTGCACCAACCACTCCAAAACTATACCCCCACCTGCTTTAAAACATTTCTATCTTTATCCCATCAATCCCGGCTGCCTTAAACCCCTTTCTTTTTAAACCTACTGCCTAAACGAACTTCCCCCCACACTCACAACTGGCTCTTCCTCACTCCTACAAGATTTTATTCCTCCTTGCCCTAATACACGAAATCACAGCTTCCCTATCTTCACAACAATTAACAATTCCTCAAAATAATTCCTTCCATCTTCAATACCTCTAACTCTCCATTTAATAACTCTCCTCTCCTTTTTTAACTGCAAATCCATTTGTTTTCTAGGCTTTCTTAACTTGTTAATCTCACCCCCAAAACTTTTTCTTATTTTCAACAAAATTTGTTGATAAACATCTCACCCACTCTCTCATTTGCTTCTTTTTACATTGCTTCACCATCTCTTAACTTCTCTCTTTTTTCTCCATATACTCTTCCCTCCTTGCATCACTTCTACTTTGAAAAAAACTCTCATATGCTAACTTTTTCCCCCTTACTACTCTCTTTACATCAATCTTTCCCACCAATCGCTCCTTTCCTCCTGCACCCACTTTCCTGTAACCACAAACTTCTGCTGAACACTCTAACACTACATTTTTAAACCTACCCCATACCTCTCGACCCCATTCCCTTTATGCTCTCATTAGCCCATCTATCTCCAATAGCTGTTTATATCTTACCCTAACTGCCTCCTCTTTTATTTTATAAACCTTCACCTCCCCTTTCCCTGATGCTTCTATTCTCCTTGTACCCATCTACCTTTTACTCTCAGTGTAGCTACAACTAGAAAGTGATCTGATATATCTGTGGCCCCTCTAAAAAACATGTACATCCTGAAGTCTACTCAACAGTCTTTTATCTACCAATACATAATCCAACAAACTACTGTCATTTCGCCCTACATCATATCGTGTATACTTATTTATCCTCTTTTTCTTAAAATATGTATTACCTATAACTAAACCCCTTTCTATACAAAGTTAAAATCAAAGGGCTCCCATTATCATTTACACCTGGCACCCAAACTTAAACCCACCACACCCTCTCTAAAAGTTTCTCCTAAATTTAGCATTCAAGTCCCCTACCACAATTACTCTCTCACTTGGTTTTAAAGGCTCCTATACATTCACTTAACATCTCCCAAAATCTCTCTCTCTCCTCTGCATTCCTTCTTCCTCCAGGTGCATACACACTTATTATGACCCACTTCTCGCATCCAACCTTTACTTTAATCCACATAATTCTTGAATTTACACATTCATATTCTCTTTTCTCCTTCATAATGATCATTTAACATTACTGTCCCCTTCCTTTGCTCTAACTCCCCTCAGATACTCCAGATTTAATCCCATTTATTTCCCCCCACTGAAACTCTCCTACCCCCTTCAGCTTTGTTTCGCTTAGGGCCAGGAATCCAACTTCTTTTCATTCATAACATCAGCAATCATCTGTTTCTTGTCATCCCCCACTAATCCCGCACATTTAAGCAACCCAGGGTTTTTTAAAGTTTTTTTTTCTTCTCTTTTTAGTAATTGTATACAGGGGAAGGGGTTACTAGCCCATTGCTCCCGGCATTTTAATCGCCTCATACGACACGCCCTGGCTTACGGAGGGAAAAAAATTCTTTTCCACTTCCCCATGGACAATAGAAGAAATAAAAAAGAACAAGAGCTATTTAGAAAAAGGAAAAAAAACCTAGATGTAGTTTTATATATATATGCATGTGCGTGTCTGTGAAGTGTGCCAAGTGTAAGTAGGAGTAGCAAGATATCCCTGTTATCTTAGCGTGTTTATGAGACAGAAAAAGAAACCAGCAATCCTACCATCATGCAAAACAGTTACAGGTTTTTGTTTCACAGTCATCTGGCAGGACGGTAGTACTTCCCTGGGTGGTTGCTGTCTACCAACCTACTACCATACCTCACAGGCATACCTCACTTTAAGGTTATGCTTTTCAGTTATATTCGTGTTTATTATTTTCGGCGTCATTTTTTTACCCATGCTCAGTCTGTTTACAGCGTTTGTGCTTTGTCTGTGTTGTACTATGACAATTTTCAAAAATTTTCAAACTTTTTACTTGTGCTAGTGTTGGTAATGAAATTATTAATTACAGTATAATGGCTAGTGAAAAGAAGTCACAAGCCTCCTACTTTAAATCAAAAGCTAGAAATTATCAGGCTTAGTTAGAAAGGCATGTAAAAGTCCAAGATAGGCCATAAGCTAGGTTTGGTGCATCCAACAGTTAGCACGTAGTGAACTTGAAAAAAATTAAAGTTAATATTAAAGTGATAAGAGAGCGAGACACAATTATTGTCGATGTGGAGAAAGCTTAGTAGATCAGTGAAGAAAGCTTTTGGTAGATCAGACCAGCCATATTGTTCCTTTAAGCCAAGGCATAATCCAGAGCTAGGACCTAACTCTCTTCATATCTTTGAAGGGGAAAAAGACGAAAACAGCTATAGAAGAGATGTTTGAAGCTAACAGAGGTTGGTTCATGAAGTTAAAGAAAGAAGCCTTTCCACAAAAAGTTTTCAAGATGAAACAGCTAGTGCTGTAGCATGCTATGGAGAAAATCCTTCACAAAATGAAACCTCAGTCAATGAAGCAAACTTCATTATTGTCTTGTATTAAGTGCCACAGCCACCCCCAAACCTTCAACAGCAAGTAGCCTTAATATTCAGTAGCCTTCACCATTAGCATAGGACTTAAAAAATTTCAACCCCTTGACTGTCGCAGCCCCAATCTGAGGTGTCTCCTGGGGTCGAAAAATTTTGAAAAAAAAAAATTCTTATGAAATGATTTCCCCTACTTTAAGCTCCATTTCAAGGTTCTTTTCATAGTAAAACCAATCAAAATCACCTCTATTTCTATAATATTTTCCATTCTATCAAATGAGATCAAGAAAACTGGAATACAACCATAAATACTGTACGAAAACGTACCACCAAGTCAGCGTTTTAATCCAAAAACACGGTCAGAATTCTTTTTTTTCTCATTATGTACTGCGTGCTGCAGGATTTTTTTTTATGGTGCACACTGACCACACAGACCCATTCTCTCACATGTGGGCCTACCAGCTTTCTCCTGCTTGATTTGAAGCCGCTAGAATTTTTGAGTATATATATGTCAAGCACGGTGGCTCGTAAGACGTACATATGCGACCAAAACAATCGAAGGGTTGAAGCTATTAATACAGTACTTTTCAGTAAACTGGCCGTATCCCACTGAGGCAGAGTGGCCCAAAAAGAAAAACGAAAGTTTCTCTTTTTTAACTTCAGTAATGTATACGGGAGAAGGGGTTACTAGCCCCTCGCTCCCGGAATGTGAGTCGTCTCTTATGACATGCATGGCTTACGGAGGAAGAATTCTGTTCCATTTCTCCAGTACTGTACAGTAGCATATTTTTTATTTTACTTTTGCATCATTTTTTTTTTTAGACCTTGCATACTTAATAAATGATAGAGTAAACATGGTTTTAGGTTTTTATATGCACTGGCAAATAGAAAAAAAGAAGTCTGTGCTTTGCTTGCAAGGCGATGGTCTGGAACCTAACCTGCTGTATTAGTGAGGTACTTATGTTTGCATAAACTTTTTACTATTTCTGGCTGCAGGGGTTGACTTGCAGCTCCTGGCCCTGCCTCTCGGCTGCTCTCATACGGTCTTATTTTCTGGCTTCATAGGTATTATTACAAGAGGGCCCCAATTATATGGTGGGTTAGGTTCAGGTTACCACTGTAAAGCAAAAATCACTGTAAAGTGACTCAATATTTTGCACTATTAAATGCATATAAATGCTAGATAATATGTATATGTTGTTATATATTAACCCTTTGACTGTCGCAACCCGAAATCCTAAAGTTTGTCTTGTGTCGCAAAATTTTCGGAAAAATTTTTTTTACGAAATGATGAAGAATCTTTTCCCGATTCCTACACAGATGACAGCAAGGAAATGAGTGAGCTACTCAAGTCCCAATATGACTCAGTTTTTAGCAAGCTGCTAACCAGACTGAGAGTCGAAGATCAAAATTAATTTTTTATGAGAGAGCCACAGAATTTGGTTAACACAAGCCTATCTGATGTTATCCTGACACCAAGTGACTTCGAACAGGTGATAAATGACATGCCCATGCACTCTGCCCCAGGGCCAGACTCATGGAACTCCGTGTTCATCAAGAACTGCAAGAAGCCCCTATCACGAGCTTTTACCATCCTATGGAGAGGGAGCATGGACACGGGGGTCGTCCCACAGTTACTAAAAACAACAGACATAGCCCCACTCCACAAAGGGGGCAGTAAAGCAATAGCAAAGAACTACAGACTGATAGCACTAACATCCCATATCATAAAAATCTTTGAAAGGGTCCTAAGGAGCAAGATTGCCACCCATCTAGAAACCCATCAATTACACAACCCAGGGTAACATGGGTTTAGAGCAGGTCGCTCCTGTCTGTCTTAGCTACTGGATCACTATGACAAGGTCCTAGATGCACTAGAAGACAAAAAGAATGCAGATGTAATATATACAGACTTTGCAAAAGCCTTCGACAAGTGTGACCATGGCGTAATAGCGCACAAAGTGCGTGCTAAAGGAATAACAGGAAAAGTTGGTAGATGGATCTATAATTTCCTTACAAACAGAAAATAGAGTAGTAGTCAACAGAGTAAAGTCCAAGGTGGCTACGGTGAAAAGCTCTGTTCCACAAGGCAGAGTACTTGCTCCCATCTTGTTTCTCATCCTCATATCTGACATAGACAAGGATGTCAGCCACAGCACCGTGTCTTTCTTTGCAGATGACACCCGAATCTGCATGACAGTGTCTTCCATTGCAGACACTGCAAGGCTCCAGGCGGACATCAACTGAATCTTTCAATGGGCTGCAGAAAACAATATGAAGTTCAACGATGAGAAATTTAAATTACTCCGTAGGGTAAACATCAGGAAATTAAAATTCTTCGGGTACAAAACAAATTCCGGGCCCACAAAATAGAGCGGAAAACCAACATCAAAGACCTGGGAGTGTCTGCTGAGGATCTCCCCTTCAAGGAATAACATTTTTCAATTGAGCTGCTAGAAAAAATGACAGGATGGATAATGAAAACCTTAAAAAAACTAGGGATGCCAACCCCCAGATGACACTCTTCAGGTGTTTGTTCTATCTAGGCTGGAATATTTGTGCCCCAAAACACACCTTTCAAGGCGGTGTAATTGCGCCCTAGAAATATACAGGAACCTTAGGGCGCATAAGGAGAAAAACACCTCAATTACGGGGGAGCGTTTGAAGTTCCTGCCCTGTATTCTCTGAATGAGGCGGGAGAGATACTTTTATATACACCGGGAAAATCAGAGGGCTAGTAGAACTTGCAACGAAAATCACTCACAATGAAGAAAAATTGGCAGACGATGAAAAACCCCCCCAATGAAAAGCAGGGGTGTCCTAGCACATTAAGAGAGAATACAAAAAGTGCAGGGCCTGAGACGTTCAATGCCTCCCCCGCTACATAAAGGGGGGTTACCAATGGGGCCCCCGACAGTCTTTAAATGGCAGGACAAGCCCTAAAAACGGTACCCGACCAGCCAGGCTGTGGCTCTACTTTGGATTTCGTGAGCCCGCAGAACCCTGGTTGATCAAATTTGATCCCCCAGGAGGCCTGGTACAGACCGGGGCCCCGGGGGCGTTGCCCCCGGAACTCCCCGGTTTTTAAAATCCCGATGTTTAAAGAGCCAAAAGTACGAAATTTATGGAAAACGCGAATTTTGCTCTCGCGAAGTTTGTGATTCAGCGATGTTTACTCATTGGTGTTTCACCACTTTGAGCCCCATTTTTGGCCAATTTAAGTGGGCGAAATTCGTTTTGTAAATATTGTTGGCCTAACTTTGCGAGACGTAATTAGTAAGTTTTTTCCCTCAAATTTCGTTCTTTTGGTGTCATTACCACCCGGGAAAAGATTCTTTTTCATTTCACAGGGTTTTTTTTTTTTTTTTCCAAAAAATTTTTTAGACACAGGAGCACCCCAGGTTTGGGGTTGCAACGTCAAGGGGGTTTAAAAAATTGAAATTCTGGAAAATTTCAAAACGGAATGAGAAGACGGGGTTTTTGGCAACATTTTTCCAAGCTCACTTTTAGAATTAAAAATTATTATTATTTTTCATTATTTTTTTTGTTTTTTTGTTTGTTCTTGTTTTTTAACAAGTCGGTTTGTCTCCCACCGAGGCAGGGTGACCCAAAAAGAAAAAATCCCAAAATGAAAATACTTTCATAATCATTCAACACTTTCACCTAACTCACACACGAGTCTTCAGTAATGTGTATGGGGCATCAGTGTTTTGAGTGGGTGGCTGGTTTAGACATTACCGTCCACTGGTTGTTGATGTGTTTTCATCTGACATCGTGCATGTGTTTTCATCACCAATCAGACGCCTTGCCAATTTGTGTACAGGGTGTTTTCACATTAATCAGTACCCTATATAAAAAGCAATACTCCCAGACTCACTATCCTCCTAAAAATCTTAGCATAAAGTTTACCAGTGGTAAGCAATTTTGAGGAAGCAGTGTAGCTGCTGCACTGCATTCAAAGGTAAAGATAGAAAGAGTAATGGGAGAGTTACATGGTTGGCATGAGCATTTGTGTTGGAAGAAGATGGTTTTAATGTCTTCTTCCAAACAACCGGGCCCGTAACCCACCGGGGCAGGGGGGCCCCAAAAAGGGAAAAAAACGAAAGTTTTCCCCTTTTACATTTAGTAATATATACAGGAGAAGGGGTTACTAGCCCCTTCCTCCCAGCATTTTGGTCGCCTCTTGCAACACTCATGGCTAACGGGGGAAGAATTCTGTTCCACCTGCCCATGGAGGTAAGAGGAAATAAACAGAACTAGAAAGAAAATAGAAGAAAACCCTGAGGGTGTGATATATATGCTTGTACATGTATGTGTAGTGTGACCTAAACGTAAGTAGAAGTAGCAAGATGTACCTGAAATCTTGCATGTTATGAGACAGAAAAAAAAAACACCAGCAAACCTGCCATTGTGTAAAACAATTACAGGCTTCCGTTTTACACTCACTTGGCAGGATGGTAGTACCTCCCTCTGCGGTTGCTGACCACCAACCTACTACCTTGTTTTTGAATGTGTTAGTAATAATAACGGACAATGTTTTAACTATTGCAATGGACTTTTCCATTGTTTCCATATCTACTAAACCTGCTAACCTTTTTTGTATTTCCTATTCCTTTATATGAAGTGCTTTGTCCTCTTTTTCTTTTCAATTTTGTAGAGTTGCTATCAAGTATAATTGTGATTATTTTCTTATCTTTCAGAGGAAGAATGTGCTCAGTATCTCCAGTTACATCCAGTGGGACAACATCTCCACCTGTGCTGTCATCACATCCATAATGTAGATGCTGTTTGTGAGAAGATGATTGTACTTTTTTTAGTACAAAGTCTTTAAATGCCTAATGGTAAGTCTCTCATGTGAAAAAACTCAGTGTGAAAACAAACCTAAGTTGTAGCCTTTTTAGAATTTAATTATTATAATTAAGTCATGACTTGGTAAAGTTCTACTTGGTAAAACATTGTCCTAATAAAAAAATATTCAACTTGTCTTTGTCTTCACTTATCAGCAATACATTTTATAAAAAAAAAAAAAAATTTAACAAGTATTTTCCCAGAGGCTGGGGCAAGGAAAAAAAAAAAAACTATCATTTACCTTCATTCTTACAAGGCTGCAGATATACAGTTTAGATGCCACGAAAAGCAGATATTTTATTATTGCAATAAAAAACACCCGGAACCTTAGTTTTCGTGATTAACTTTCGAAAAAGTTTGAAAAAAAAGAATCTAAAAAACTGAAGCATTTTTCCCCCATAAAAAAATTTAAATCCATTAATCCTTCCAAAACCCAAAAAAATTTAAAAAAAAAATACATTTATAGGATACAGAAAAAAAGTAAAATAAATATAAATGACTAATTTCAATGGGAAAAATACAATTTAACAACTTTTAAAACCCTTTTTTGAAGACTCTTTTTTGGCATAGGAAGATGACAAGGGGGGAGAGGAAAGGAGAGGTTATGTTGGGAAGGGGAAAAACCCCATCCAAAAGGAATTAAGACCAAGGCCATCCCGGGTTACTTCCCCCCTTTGTCTTTTTACTGGCCCGGACCGCTTGGTCACTGACCCGGTACACAAAAAAAAAATGTCCAGAGAGGGCCTTTTAGTTCTCTTTAAATTTACCCAAAATGGGACAAGGCATTTTCTTGACAGTTGCAGCATGGCTTGCAACAGCTTTTTGAAGGGGATATTTCTCCCAAAACTTTGCAACTCATTCCACTTTGCACACTTCCTTTATTACTCAAAAGGGACATTCTTCCCCCTCCCCCTCTAAGCAATTTCCCCAGTGCTGTTGTTTCTGTTCCAGTTGAAGGTCTTGCGCTCTTACAATAGTTTTCCCTAACATTTAGGGTCTCAAGTCAGGCTCAAACCCTTAAAAACACAACACATGGGATGCTTTTTTTGGGCGCTCGATTGGGGAAAGAGTGGCCCTTGTCACCACAGGCGAGATTTGGGACGGGCCATCTTTAACTGTAAAGAAGACCGAGCGGATGTACGAAAACTGGGCAAAATTTTTTATAAAAAAAAAATTTGGTGAAAAAACCAATTGGGACAAAAACTAGGGATACAAAACAGAGGTTCCATTTATTTTTAAAAAGCATCTGAAACATTTTTTTTTTACAAATCTAGGGCAATTTTTGATTGCTAAAATTTTGAAACATACAAAACATAAACCATTTCCCCTGAAAAGCCCTGAAATTCCTTTATTTTAAATTTTTTA